GGGGGTGGCACTGGGGGGGCTTTAAGGTCCCTTCCCACCCAAACCATTCCATGATTCTATGATTGTCTGAGGTACAAATGTGTTACGAGGAGCCCAGGCTCCCCTCGGAGAGTCCATAAGGAGAAGCAAGAGCCCAGAGGTATTTGCAGCAGGGAGCGGGGTGTGGAGCTGGGTGTTTGGATAGCAGCCCGCTCGCTTGGATAGGGCCTGGATTTGTGTCAGACTCACACTTAACTTTGCCTCCAACGACAGGAGACGTGTGCAGGGCGGGAACAGGGGTGACCTTCCTGTTCAAGCTGCTCAGTCTATTCCGCACACCTCTCTCCTTCCCCTCCAGAGCGGCTGCCTACAGTAAACTGGGGAACTACGCTGGAGCGGTGAGAGACTGCGAAAGAGCTATAGGCATCGACCCCAACTACAGCAAAGCTTATGGCAGAATGGGGTAAGGAGGGCAGGGTTTCATCTCAGAACGCCCGTCGGCATTGAGCCGATGGGTGGTATTCTGCCCTGGAATGCCGTGCAAAAATTCCTGGTGCTTCACCTCCGCTGGGGCTGCTGGAAGAGTGGCGAGCGCGGATCGAACTCGGTGACTCGTTGTTTTATTTCCACTTTAATAGGTTGGCCCTCTCCAGTTTAAACAAACACACAGAAGCTGTTGTGTACTACAAAAAGGCCCTGGAGCTGGATCCGGAGAACGACACCTACAAATCGAACCTTAAAATAGCGGAACAGAAAATGAAGGAGGCTCCTAGTCCGGTAAGTTCCGACCCCAACGCTTGTTAGCTGCGGGTATGAGGCTTGGGAACGGGTGCTGCCCGGCTGGCCGGGGTTGTGTTGGGAATATGAATCTGGGGTGTGGATGGAGATAGGTAGTGAGTCCTGCTGTGGATGTTCCCGCTAAAATCCAGAGAGGGTAACTTCCCTGCTTGGGCACAGACGCCTCGGGCTTATTGGGGAGGGCAGGAAAACAAGGCTCACTAGAAAGGCGTGTTTGGAACAGGGATTTTGAAGGGGATTTTAACTTTCCAAAGTAGATGCGTTTAACTTGGCAATCGTGGGTTACAGCTCTACGTCGCTACTGTGGGCTCAGCTGGGGAAAGGGAATCAGTAAGTCAGGAAATCTGCCCTGTGAACCCCCTCAGTGAGCCTGATCCCCCAGAAATCCACCCAGAAAGGGTGTGGACAGAACCTCTTCCCTTTTGCCGTGGTTTAAGGGCCGGGTTCTGATGACACGGAGGGAAGGTGTTCATGCTCACTGTAGTGTGCATCAGGAAGGGAGAGGATGTTGTCAGCGTGTGGTTTCCTTATTCCCACAGACTGGAGGTCCGGGTGGATTTGATTTAGCCGGCTTGCTGAACAACCCCGGCTTCATGAGCATGGTGAGTTTGGACACGGGTGACAGCCAGGCTCTCCCTGCCCTGTGCATCCCCCTGCCCAGGACCCCACGGCCCAGGGACCTCCTGTGTCCCCAGCAGATTTGTTGGCATTTCATTTCTTGGTTTCAGTGTTACCCTGAGGAAACTGTTTGTATTTCAGTAAGGACAAACGAAGAGCTGGTGACTTCCTCACAGGCACTTCTTGCTGGATGCCTATTCTGCATTACCAGCCTTGCCTTGGGTTCCACTCCACTTCTCATAGCTATTTTTATCCTATTTATCTGTTTCCAAGTATTTCTGCCTTTGCTTTGTAGCTGAATGGCACATCTGCATCTCTACCCAGTAATTTTGGATTAAATAGGGTGTCTTTTTTTTTTTCCTCTCCTCTTTAAATAGGCGTCCAACCTCATGAACAATCCGCAAGTCCAGCAGCTGTAAGTTCAATCCCATCTTGTATTTCCTCTTTGAATCGTTGATTTGCGGCTCTGTGTTTGCAGTAGGCCCGAACAGGGCTGCGAGGACCAAATCCAGATGTTTGTGAGGCGCTTGGGTAGTATAAAGTCAGAAAACCAGTTCCCCGACCATCCTCAGGTGAGGTGGAGACCTCCCGGAGCTCATCCTTTGACTACCAAATGAGGGAATTTGGCGAAAGGGCTGAGCGTTGTCGCTGTTTGCTCTGCCTGCTCCTTCGGCTGCTGTTGCCAGCTGAGGTTCCGCACCCGGTGCGGCCCACAGACTCGCGGAGCAAGGGGCTGTGTGTTCCGGGCCGCTCGCCGGGAGGGAAGCGGTGCTTGGGCTGTCCGTGTCAGTGCATCTTTGATGCAGAGCAACCTCTGGGAATACGGTAACCGACTGTAAATGTTGCCACGCGCCGTGCAGTTTCACGTTGCTCCCCTGCAGTTCACGTACAAAACGCTGTTGCGGAAGATTCCCATGCGGATAACTTCAGTTCGGTGGGAAGGCGCTCCCACTATCCCCTCCCAGCTTAAAGAGACAGTTCCCACGAGTCGCTTTTCCGGCTCTGAGCGGTGACCGTTGTTTCCGCAGCATGTCTGGGATGATTTCTGGTGGCCACAACACCATGGGAGCAGCAGGCACCAGCCCCTCCACGAACGATCTCGCCAGCCTCATACAAGCGTGAGTAGCGAGCTGGCTCTTCCCCTTGGAATATTTGGAAAGAAATGGATTTGGGTGTTTTTCTGCCTGGAAGTGGAACCTTAATTAAAGGGTTGGGTTAAGCCTTGGGTGACATATGGCCTGTTCTGGTGAACCCCTCGTTAGAGTGAGGTTTTGCCCACCGGCTGTGACGATTTCCCAGCGCCGGGCGGTGTTTGCGTGCGAGAAGGCTAACGGGACGGTCACTTCTCCTCCCTCAGGGGCCAGCAATTCGCTCAGCAGATGCAGCAGCAGAATCCTGAACTAATAGAGCAGCTACGAAGCCAGATTAGGAGTCG